AAAAAATATTTGAAACACAAAAGGGGTCTTACATGTTTCCCATAAATTTTGAAAAAATTCTAAATATCGTGAGCCTTTGTTGTTATATTCTATTGCACAAGACTGGGAATGGACCCGAAACTTTTTTAGTTTATATGCTAAACAAAAACTGTTGGTGTTTTAATGAAATAAATGTTCATTAAAATGTTCTTCTTGGTAATTGTAGTGTTCTTGTTGTTGTTGCTTTACTTTAATGTTTATAAAACATGTTATACTACCTTTGTTTTGTCTTCAAAATGTGTGTGTGTGGTTGGTTTGGTTTACAAGTAATTATTTCTGGCTTACTAAGCTATACCATTTTTTGAATTCTTTTCAATTAGTTTGCAATTTTTTTGTTTTAGGAAATTTTAATAATTTTTTTCTCAATCTTATTTTTTTGTTAACAAATTTTGACTAGCAATTTTATGTTTTTCGTATGTCTGTATATTCCAAGAAGAATATGGAATGTTTTAATATTATATAATTTTTTTTGTTACTATAAACAATATTAAGTTTTGAGATCATTTGTTATTTTGTTTTGAAATAAAGATTATGACTAGAATCGTTTGGAAACAGTTGGAATGTCAAAGGTGAAAGGTTTGTTTGGTTTGGTGGAATGTTGAGAGCTAAAAAAAAAGAAAAATAAAACAAAAATCTACAAAAAAAAAAAACAAAACAAATCATACTAAAAATCTACTCAGAAAGACACAAAATAAAATAAGTCAACTGTTTACACAGGGCAATTAATGTAAAAAAATGCAATGCCAGTAACATTTCACAAAGAAACTTGTGTTATGGCCAGTTAACTTCACATTGTGTCAACTGTGTAAACAGTGGCTTGGTAAATAGCACCCAAAAGATCTCATTTACTAGCCATTCACATTCTCTCGCTCTCTTTCACGCACTACAAATCATGGAAGGGGTTAAAATAAATGATGTTGGTTAGCAGCACACTCTCTCTCTCTTTCTGCTTCTCTGGTTGTTCTTCTCACTAACTCATTCTGTTACGAAAACAAACGAAACTAAAAAAATATGAATATTAAAATGGAAAAAGAAAAACATAACTAAAAAACGAAATTAAAAAATAAATAAAAAATCAAAAGTTTTTTTGTTTTGCCAAAAAAATAAAATATTTGTTTTATTAATAAAAATTGTTTTTGTTGTTGTTGTTGGTTTTTGCATTACATTTTACATAATAAATTATAATAATTACAAAAACAAAATAAAAAGAACAAACAGGAAAAAAATGATAAAAATAATAATAAGGTTATTTTTTTGCAAAGTTGTAGTAAATTTAAAAAAAAATAAAATTATAATATAAATAATAATGTGATAAATCTAAGTCAACCAATATACATATGTGTGTAAACGAAATGAGAATTAAGACATGACAATGGGGGCGGGAAGCGGAAAATGTGGAAAAAAATTGGAAAATTTTAAGAGTTCTAATTTTTTGGACAAAATTTTTGAAAATTTTATTGTCCCTTCGTTATTTTCCTAAAGTTTTGAAAATGACTTTCTTAAAAAGTGGTGAAAACAAAAAATTTCCTTCCATGGAAATACATTTTTTTTTCCAAAATTAACAAAAGGAATTTTTCTATTGCAAGTTTCCATGACTGATAGCTATAGAGCAAATTCCGAAGATAATCCTCCATCTATTTTCTATCAAATAACTTATCATTGAATTAAAATTTAAACCTCCAAACGAGGTTATTATTCTTTGTATATACAGGGTGGGATGAAAAAAACTGTAACCAACCTCAGACTGCTGTCATATCTAAGCCACTCGACCGACATTGAATTAAAATTTAAACCTCCAAACGAGGTTACTATTATTTTTATATACAGGGTGAGATGAAAAAAACTGCAACCAACTTCAGACTGCTGTCATTTCTATGCCACTCGACCGAGTTATTGCAGTGACAGCTCATTATATTGTTTAAAGCATACAAAATCATTTTGGTGAGAATTTTTTCTTATATTTGGCTGGAAAACTACAAGTGGCTATCATTAAAGCCCTGCAGCATTTAAATATGATTGAATCTTTTGTGACTCGTACCATCGCTCGTTACCGTGATACTGGTAGCGTCGCCAAACGAAGTCAAGGAAGTGGACTGAAGAAAACAGCAACATCAGCAGAAATGGTTCGAAAAGTAAAGAGACGACTTGATTGATGAAAATTTGATGCTATTTCCAACATTTTTCATTCAATAAAATTTAAAAAAAAATGTTAAAAATTATGGCGTTTGACTTTGTTGCAGTTTTTTTTATTACATCCTGTATTTTTTTAATAAAAAAGCCTCTTATAGTTGCTTAAAATGTTTCCAATTTTTTTAAATCCAATTTTCCAAAATATTCTCCCAGAATTACACAAAACAGAATTTGGGTTTCTCTTTACTTGTTTTTTTTTTTTTTTGTTTTTGGTTTACAAATGGGAGAGGTTAGTTTATGACTTTCCCAAAAGTTGATTTTTTCGCATTTATTAAAAAATAATAATAATGAATTAAAATAAAAAGAGATAGCAGTTGACAAAAAAATTAAAAAAAAAAACTAAGAACAAAATCAAATTACAAACTAAAAAAATATGGTGAAATTAAAATTAAAAAAAAATTAAACTAAATACAAAGAAAAAAACCTAAAACCACAAAAAGAAAATAATAATAAAAATTAAATTAAAAATCATGTTGCTTTTACTATATACTATAAATATGCATGTATATGTGTGTGTATAAGAACATAAATTATAATTAAAATTAAAAAAAAGAGAAAGGGTTAAAGAAAAATTATCAATTACTCTAACGGCGAAAGTCAAGATGCCAGATCTTGAAACTTTCTTTATTCATTGTCTCATAATGTGATGATTACTTTGTTGTTATTTTTTTCACGAATCAAAATTAAAATTATTTGAAAAATTAAAAAAAGAAGTTTGAAAATATGTGTAGATAAATGAAAATTCACAAAAATCATTGCCATTTGTTTGTTTGTGTTATTTTTCTCAATGGATTCCTTTGTTATATTGTTTTGTTTTTTTTTTTTTTTCATTTCTTAATACATAAAATGTGTAATAAATAAGTTTGTTTTTAAATATAAGATAATGAAAAAAGAAAAAAATTAAAATATATTTTTGTCATAAATATATATATATTTACATAAAAATTGTTAGCAATTGTTTTTGTTTTGTATAAAAATGAGATACCTAATTTTCTTATAAAAAAAATTTGCAATTTGCCTTCATTTGTTACATTTCATTTCTTCTATTGCACAGAAATTTGTGTGTGTATATGTGTTCTCGTTATTAGCTTATTTAGTTTTCATTCCTAATTTCATCATTTCATTAGCTTGCATTATTTTTTTTTAGGTTAGGTTTTGTGTTTTACAACAAAAAGAAGTATTGAAAAGTATTTTATTAAAAAATCTATACTCTTCTCTTTTCGACTATATACGAATAGTTGATTTTTATATAATTTGGGTCTCGATGATAGTGGGAAAGGGTTTTCATTCAAAAAAACGCTTTTGTCTATTTGAGGTTAAGATGTATGTCTTCTTTATATCGCACTTTCGCTGGTAGGTCTTAAATTTTTTTTAAATTATGACAAATTGTTTGTCACACAACCTTAAAATTTTATCTTATTTTGAATAATAAGGAAAAAAATTCAACATAACCAAAAAATAAAAGATATTTTTTTTGGAAAAAATCTTTAAAATCTAAATCTTGAAACTGTGTTATTTTTTCATTCACATATTTTCGTATATGTAATAATCTATAATATTCAATGAATAGACTGCAATATAATAGGTTTATTTCGAAAAATTAAACAATTAGTTCAACATAACCTCTAAAATTGTATCAATATTTCTTGGGCTTTTTGATAAATTAGAAGCATATTTTGAGATAGTTAACAGAATATGACGTAATTGTGTACAACATATGATCACTTTAGTTAATTTGTAGCCGAAAAAAGACGATTTGTTCGACATAACCTCCAATTTATTAACAATTTTTAAAGTTAATTTTATAAAAAACTTGCCATAATTCAATTTATGAAATTATTTGAATTGAGTACGAAATAATGTTCTATTTTGTAAAATTAAAAACAAATTAAACATACTATCAATTTGTCAATGATTTTAAGGGTAATATTTTTTGAAAACATTTTGGAAATACTTTAATTCTTTACCGGAATGAAATTGGATTCCATAATGTATACATAATTTGTGACTTTTCAGTTTTTTTTTTCAAGTAAAATTCTTTCTTTAGTTAAACACCACGTGAAAAATGTTTTCAGAAAAATTTTGAGTTTTTCAAGACTTCTTTTCCACATTATGCCATAATTTGAGAAATTCTTGGTTGCGGCTACAATAAAACCAATTCCTTTTCAAAAATGATTTTTTTTAAACATAACCTCAAAAACAGTTTTTTTTTAACAAAAATATTGGAACTTTTTGGCAATTGTTATTCAAGGTTTGAGACATTTTGATTAACTTTTTCCACATTATGGCATAATTCTGGGGTGGATTACTGTAACTTTTCAAAAATGAAATTTTTTCAACATAACCTCAAAAAAAATTAAATTTAAATTTTTCTTTTATCAAAAACTACGTTTTTACTGAACATTATTTCAATAGATTATGTTTATCTTTGGAAATGGACAAAAAAAGTTATTGATCCTTCATTTCGAAGACAATAAACTTGATTTTATTTTTGTTTTTTTTTTTTTAATATAACCTCAAACATTTTTGCAGGACTTTCTTTCAATACGAAACCCTTTAATTTCTTTTTTTATTTCGATATTCTTAAGTATTTTTTGAAAGTATTTGAATTGAACACACAAGTCTTATGTCTTTGTTTCATATGAATTCAAAAAATGTTTTTTTAACAGACATAACCTCAATAGTTTATATTATTTTTAAACTTTTCTTGTTTTGATATATTACCATTTATTCATGGAAAGAATTTGATTACTACATAAAATTTGCGTGTGTTTTGTTGGAAAAGCTTCAATATTGAAATTTGGCTTAAACATAACCTCAAATTCAATTTGAATGAATGACAACCTTTTCCCTTATTTCATCGAGTCCCTATAGAAAACTTCTATGTTTGTGTTATTTTTGTATATAGAATTTTACTAAATATTTAAATCTTTGGATTATATAGGTTACGTTTCCTTCCTTGCAATAACAACAAGTTTGAGAAGAAATTAAATAAAAAGAAAAAAAAAGAAATTAGTGTACAAAAAAAATTGAAAAACTGAAAAAATATATATTTTTCTTAAAAGAAAAACGTTTAGCTAGAGATGTTGTTCAAAATGAAAAAAACTCCTATGATATTTTCAAGAGTTGTTTTCTTTTTTCATTTCTTGTATGTTTATATATATATTAAGCTGCTTGGTTTTTAAACTTAATTTTAAAAATATATATTTTTATATTTTATTTTTTTTTTCACTGACTAGATTTTTGTTTGTTACTTTTTGTTGTTAGATTTGTTCTTGCTTTCTCTTGTATCTTTCATTAGGGAGTTGGTTTTCCTCACGTTTTGTTTTCTTTTTTTAAATACTAATTTTTTATATAAATTATTTTTGTTTTCGGTTGCTTAAGAACTAAAGTGTTTTGTTAAGAAAATTATAATTGTGTGTGTGTGTTGTTTTTAAAATATATATATATGTATACATACTAAAAAAAAAGTTACTAAAATCGCATACACATAATAATCAATTATAAATATTAAATAGTATAATAATAAATATGTATATGTAAATATTTAAACATTTAAATGAGAGAGAATAGAGTGTGAGAAGAAAGGGGGGTCATATACGCTGATGTGTTGTAATGATATTTTTCTAATAATGAAATACAAATTTGTTTCAAATTGGGACAAGGGAAAACAAAAATCATTTTTCTCCAACATTTTCTCAGTTGAAGAAGAAGGTGGATCTTCAAACTTGATGCCATAATTGTTTTTGTTTTCCCTTCTCCTTTTTTGGTAATAAAAGTATAAGTATTTTTCTTTACTGAACTTTAAACAAATAATGCCTGCCTTTTGAAGAAAGAATCGGAAAAAATCAAGTCTAATATATATAATTAAAAATAAATACTTTTTTTCTATATAATAAAATATGAAAAATTACTTTAATAATTTCTTCTCTAAAGAAAAACTTAAAGAAATCAACAAAAGAAATTAATAATAATATTTATGTATATCTCTATGTAAGAAAAAACAAAGAAACAACACTAACAATAAGTTTTGAAAAAAGAAAACAAACTAAAATTTAATGCAATCCTAATTTTCTTCTGCTGGAGGATGGGGGCAAAAGAAAAACCAGTGAAATGCTGCTGATGGTTCATGGGGGGCGCACGAGGACAGAGAGGGTGGAGTTTTTGGAGAGATGTATTTACCAAAAACCAATAAGAAAAAAAAAAACAAAAGCAATTTCAAAACAAAGCAACTCAAAGCATATCTATAGTTTAGATGAAAAATTATAAAATTCAATTAAAAAGAATTATATATATATTTGTTATTTCATAATACGATTTATTGTATAAACATTTGTGCTTTATAATGTTTCTTCATTTTGTAAATGATCAAGTTTGCTTTTTGTTTTCACTCAAAAAAAAAATCCCAGAGGAGATGGGCGCGGGCGGGCAAAAAAACTAACATCTTTAATAGTGTCTATCCCTGACTGGAGATATCTAGGCAAGGTATTATATTCATTGAGAATCAATGCAAGACCTTTCATTTTAGTTTTACAGATGGTCTTCTGTCCACAGAGGGAGACAGTCACCCAAAAAATTCATTAATGAAAACCGAGTCTTTTCATTTTCTTTTCCTTAGGCCCTCACTATCAAGTAACTCGGATTTTCTTCCACGACTCTTTTTTTAAGAATAGTAACTAGTAACTTTTATAAACTAGAAGGGCCTTCCGTTTAAAAATTTGTTAAGTCTATGGGTCAGCAAGGGAGAGAAACTGTTCTTTGACATTCGCTTTTAAAACCTTAAACAGTTTAAACAGTTTCTATGCCTGACTGTCGTTATCTCGGTAAGGTATTATATTCATTGAGAATCAATGCAAGACCTTTCACTTCAGTTTTACAGAAGGTCTTCTATCTATAGAGGGAGACAGTCACCCAAAAAATCCTTAACGAAAACTGAGTCTTTTTCATTTTCTTTTCCTTAGGCGCTCACTATCAAGTAACTCAGATTTTCTTCCATGACTCTTTTTTTTAAGAATAGTAACTAGTAACTTTTATAAACTAGAAGGGACTTCCGTTTAAAAATTTGTCAAGTCAATGGGTGAGCAAGAGAGAGACTTTCAAAACCGTATTATTTTCATCAATGAAACAAATTTTTATTTCTAAATTTGATAGGAAGGTCTCGTTCTCTCTCACAACTCAGTTAGCCTTTTTAAGAACAATGTTTTCTTCTGAAATTTATTAGATCTCTGTATAGGAAGAAATCTAAGAAAAGTTGTAAATTTTAATATCTTTGCCCTAGTGTTTTTTAATGTTGAATATAAAAAAAACCTAAAACCAAATATCCTTGCACCCAAAGCTCCCCAGGGATTTTAATTTTCGGAGTGTTTTTCTTTTACCAATTTCGCTACATTTTAAATTATAAATACTTGCTATTCCTCCAGGTTGGGGGAACGGATCTATGATGATATTCATAAATTATTGTTGTTTGTTACTTTGAGTTTTTTGTTTGTTTAATTTTTAACTAGTTTTGGTTTTTGTTTGTTTCAATTTTTCTTTTCCTTTTTTTTTTGTATTATATTTATATTAATAATAATAAAAAGGAGTTTTGTTTAATTAGGTATTCTTCTAACATTCACCAGTAAATTTAGTAATGGTAATAATAATAATGACGATGATGTTGATGGCCTCTAGCTTTTTCTTCACTCATTTTGAATTTGTTCTGAACAATTGTTTTGCTAAAACATAATATCTTGTAATACTGTAAAAAGCCTCTTTATAGCTGTGTTTGTGTGTGCATCGTTTCTTAACTCTTCTTTTTTTAAATATAGAAAAATCCTATATTAATTATTATTTTAAAAATGTGTTTTTTTTTTTTTTTTGTTTTTCTTTCACTGGCGAGTGTTTGAAAATTATTTTACTTTCTTAATAGTTTTGTTTAATTAAATTTATGCGTTTTTTTATTTCTTGGAAGATTTACTTGTTTTGCTTGCTTTTCCCAAATTTTAGTTTGTTTTACTTTCTTTTTTGCTGTTTCGATCGTTCGGTCGGTCTTCATTATTCTTTTAGCCTATATGTTAAAATTGTTTTTCTTTCCGTTTTTTTTTATTTTTAATAAAAAAATTGTTACTTCTTTCATCAAAATATTGCCTTGTCATTTCTTTTGTTGATCTCTTTAAGAAGCAAAGGACAATTTTCTTTATAAGAAAAGAATCCTCAATCATGCAAATTTCAAAAAAAGGACATGCATTATTTCCAGTTGCCAGGCGGGCAAGAGTTTTAAAACAATCGAGAGAGGGAGACCAAAAATCTCTGCTCCCTTTTTCTTTTGCAAGAAAAATAGTCAGCATTTGCATTGTTTAAAACTCCAGATCCTACTTGCAATTATTAAATGTGTGGGTCTGTTTGTGAGGAGTAGTAGTAGTAGTAGTAATAGAGGGGACAAGTTATCATCTATTGTATGCTTAAGAAATGTGTTGTTGTTGTTCTGTGTTCTTTCTATATACTATATATATATAAATTATGTTATGTATGTGTTTTGTTTTTTTGTTCTTGCCTAATTTACTTTTTGTTAGTCTTAAAACTAACTTGTAATACTCGATTACCCAAAGTATAACCATTGAGCGCCCTTATTGCCATAGCTGCTTCATCGTAGTTGGTCATGGACACAAAGCCATAACCTTTGCATTGATTGGTCGACGAGTCTTTGACAATTTTCACGGATTGCACAGCGCCAAAGGGACCAAATAGCTGCCACAGCGACGATTCTTCGGTTTCGGGTGCCAAGTTGTAAATGAATATGGGATAGGCACCGCCGGGCCCAGTGGCCAATGAGGTGGCGGCAGCAGCACCCAAGCCATTGGGCAGCATTACGTCCAACATATCACCGGCCATGGGTGAAAAACGGGCCAGACCCTTGTTGACGGGTGTGTGCATGGCACCACCAATGCGTCGCACCAGCTGGGGATTTAAAAAGGTTGGAATCTGAGGCTGGATTATCTTGTTTGTACTGCCCGGGGTATTGGAGAATTTCACCACAATGGGATCGGTGCAACCCGTGGGTGTGGTACCGTTCAATGCAATTATGGCCCTGGTGGCCTCTTCACGTTTGTCGAACCGAATGAAGCCCACACCCTTGGTTTGGGTATCATTACCGGCATTTTGCAAAATCCTCGAAGTAATTATTTGACCAAATGGTGCAAAAATTGCCTCCAAATCTTGTTGAGTCATGGTCTTGGGCAGACCGGAAACATATAGGTTGGCGCCCTTTATGGCCTCCGAGGAGGGTCGGGCAAATGACACCTTTATGGTTTTATTTTGCAGCCGCAAACCATTCAAAACATTAACAGCCTGCTCAGCATCTTGGGGCCGTACATAGTTAACAAATCCATAGCCCAAACTTTGACCCTTGGTGGCTGTCGGATTCAAGGGATCCAAAAAGGGTTGACTTTTGTCGCGTATCAATTTCACCGATTCAATTTCACCCACACTCGAGAACAGCGAACGTATCTCGTCCTCACTCATGGTCTGTGGCAAATAGTTGACAATCAAATTGGTGCGGGTCTCACTGGAGCCATTTGTATTGCCATTGGTGCCGTTGGTTTGATTTTGCAATTGCTGGGCAACAGCGGCGGCGGCTGCAGCCACAGCTTGTTGGGTCTGTTGTTGTTGTACCTGCAATATGGCCTGCTGAACCTGCTGCTGTTGCAGTTGGGCAGCAGCTGCGGCGGCTGGTGATACGGCCAGCTGCGCAGCTGCCGCTGCCGGATTGGCACCAGGCAAAATGGCAGATTGATTATCGACTGCTGCTCCAGGATTGGCCATCATGAAATCCACTGGAAAATCAAAAAAAGAAACGGAAAAGGAAAAACAAAAATTAATACAAAAACTCAACAAAGAAAATGAAATTAAAAACGAAAACATTCAATAATTTTAAATGATTGAGAAATGAGATGTTTTTTTGGTTTAGAGGTTATGTTCAAGAGGATATGGCTGGGCACAAGGCATTCACCCCTGGAAAAAATGAGGTCGTTACTGTTTTGTCGTTGTTGTTGTTTGGGATGAGAGTGAGGGAGCGTCGCCGAAAAAGTAATAATGCGGAAAGGATGTGAAGAACAACAAATTAAGGGGAAGTAAATTTGTTTTTTAAGGGAAATTTCTGTGGGGATGGGCGGACAAGGAAAACTTTTGCAAGGAAAATTTTCCTAGAATAAAATAAATCTGGCATAGAAATAGTTGAAAAATTGCTTTTTAACTAAAAATGATTAATTAGTTTGACAAAAAAAATCTTTTGAATTTTCGATATTAAAAACAAATGGCTTTCAAATAAGAATATATTTTTTTCAAAACCGAAAATATCTACGAAATGTAAGAAAACGAAATTGTTTCCTTTTTTCAACAAATTACCGAACACTAAAAAAAAATTCCTTAAACGTTTAAAATATAAATAAAAGTTGCAAATTAAATATAAAAAGTAAGTTTTTAAAAAACAAATGCCAAAGCTTTACCAAAAATATTAAAGTTCAAATAAGATTTGTATTTCACAAAATTTTAAATTCACAATTATATTTTTCGCTATGCGGAAATCTATTTAAACCACCTCAAACGAGTATGTATACACTACTAAAACTGCAGTAAGTTTTATGAGAATTCCCGGTAAAAAATGTGGAAGCTATGAGCGCGTACTGCCGGGATGCCTGGATGGCGCAAGAGTAAATTTTTTTGTTGCAAAATGTACGGAGACAAGGGTCGTGTCGGTCGGTCGGTCTTCGTTGTTACATGACTAGAGCATTTTTCGCTTGGAAATTCCATGAAAAAATCCACCCTTATTGCAACACTTCCATCCATTTTTAAGAGAAATTACAAAAAAGGCAGGACGAAGAAGGGAGAATTTCGGGGTGAACACACACCAACCAAGCAAATATCATGTAAATCATGTAAAGGATAATTATCCAGCCAAAAAATTGAAAAAGGACATTTTATTTCTTTTTCTCTTTGGGTCATTGGACATTCGTATTACAATAATTAAAATTTTTCCTTCCAAGAGAAAAACATCTATAAAACTACCTCTCTCTCTCTCTGTGTTATGGCAACAGACAACAAAACCCTGTTGTGGAAACCCATCCCATAGAAGTGGTGAGTTTCTAGGCCGTGTCTTTGTGCCTTTGGTTATCACCCACAAAACTTCCCTTATTGCAAGTCATTATATATACAAGGGAGGAATGAAGGGTGTTGGTGGTGGAAAACTAGAAATAAGGGTGTATAAATGTCGTCGCCCTTATCTTTCATTTGCTAAAACGAACGCCATGTGTTTTTCCACAAAAAAAAAAAAAAACACATTTCCAATGAAGTGGTTTTGTGCCTTGTTTAAATATTCCAAAATCAGCAGGGGGTGTTTTTTTGTTTGTTTGTTTCAATGCAAAGCAAAGAATGAATGAGAAGTTGAAAATGGCTAGTGTAGAGAATGGCAGCAAACTAGAATTCCCTGGGACAAGTTTTAAGCAAATCCTCAGTTTACATCGATTTTTTAGTGGACATTCCTATTCCTAATTAATAATTTTTGAACTGTATTTCGAAAAGATATTGCCATTTGTGTGGCAGTCACACGATATGGCTACTAAATAAAAATAACATGTAAATCATTTGAATTGTAGTAACACAAACGATTATCAGGATATGGATTTCCTCTTACAAAACAACTACTTTACCATTCAAAGGGATTCATCTGCGATTTCACTCTATATAAATTAGTTATCGATAATTCTTTTGCTATACGACAACTGCCAAAAGCATATTTTTTATAGAGGTACTTTGTCGATAACTGTTATTATATGAAGTACAATTTTTCGATTACTTATTTTTAAAAAAGACAAATTTTCGATAACGATTGCTTCACGTAAAAATTAATAATTTGAAATAGGCACATTTGCGATATACATCCTTATACCAAGTTTTTTATGTAGCAAAAATTACTATATCTACATTTCCATAGAGATGTATCATCGATAATAACTTAAAAATGATCGGTAACATATCTACGACAGATAAAAAAATTTCGATAATTCTTAAATATAATTGATAAAAGTTGTTGATTTTCTATGGATCAAAATTGCCGATCAGTATTTGTAAGAAACAGATGGCAAAAAAGGCACATTCAACGAATAAAAGTTATCGATATTAACTTGACAATAATTATAAAAGAAAAATAGTCTGTGAATAGTCTTGCTAGTAATTAAAAATAAAGTAATAAATGTTATTGAAAGGAAGATCCTCAATAATTTGTATCACTTTCTGATAAAATCTTTTCGACTGAAAAGGTTTTTCGCATCAGCTTTGCCGCGAATAAAATAAAGAATTGTTATCGATAATAACTTATTTATAAAGAAATGCTGTAAATAACTATTTTCCACTGACGAGGAATAATCGATAACACGTCTTTAATATAGAATACAGATACGAACTGTCTCTTCTGAAAATTCATCGATTATAAAATTTCAATAAAGAAAGCATCGCAATAGAAAATAATTTTTCGATAATTACTTTTCAACAGAGAAATGATGTGGATCTTGTCTTTTGCGTAGAGAAATATTACATTTCACAAAGAAATATTATCGATAACATTTTTTCTCCCACAGAAATGTTTTCTACTACAAGATCCGATAAAGAAATGTTTTCCACAATCATCAGAATATAAGAATATTTGTCAATAAACTCGTTTCACCACAGAACAGCCCATTATAGATTTCATTAAGATATATCACAGGTTACAAATGTCCCCAGAAACATTTAGTCGATAACAGAATTTCCGAATATAATGTTGTCGATATTCAATAACTCCAATTCCAAAAATTCGATAACTATTTTGGAATTTTCATAGTTGATATTCTCGCTTCTGGAAACCTGTCGATAAGTGACTTTGCGAGGAAAACCTTGTGATAAATGTACCTAAATAAATATTGGTGATTGTAAATGTAATCGATAACATTTTTAAGACAATTCTTGAAGATTTCAACTCCTCCGTGTAGTCTGTCTTTTATATACCCCAAGTTTCGTGAAATTGCTTGCGGGTTAACCGTGAATTTGGTATGCCAAATTTACCGTAAAAAACATTTCATTTTTTCCTTTTATCCCCTAAATTAACGATATCCCTTAACTATTCCTAAAGCATGGCAACCCTATTGTTTACCTTAAAGAATATGAATAGGTAATGCGCAAACATGAAAAGATTTTATTTATATGAACTACTAACTCTGACTATATAAAATTGATATTATAAACATAAAAACGCGCATAGGAAAACTTAATTTGCTCCCTCTCTTTTTATTTACTTATTTTTTCGTTCACAATACGACTGCAAATTTACACTGAACACATTCACGCGCACACACACACACACACCGAGTGTGCTATACACTTTGTACCACACACCAAAAAAAAAAAATGTTATTAACACGCCACACAGTACCACCTAGTTGACCCCACCATAGAATGACAAAAACAACAATAAGTTGCGTACGAAAATGAAAATTCATTAAATCTAGTACTCTCAATGAAAATGGAGAGGACAGGATGAGGAAAATTACAAGTTAAAATAAATAACACATAAAAAGGTTGTCATCATCATCATCGGCCACAAAATGAAAACAAACGAGAGAAATGCTAGGTAGAAGAAGAACCCAACACAACAATTACTCACTTTGTTTTATTTGGGCTTGTTGTACGTGAAAATTGTATTGAAAGTGTCTGTCTCCGGGGTTTAACTGCCGCTGTACGACGCCAGGCTATACGCGCTGTAATAGAGAATATTAAAACGACTAGTTTTCAATTTTCACTGTTTGTTTGTCGGGGTTTTAGTTTTTTTTTTTTTGAGATCAGAATGCGCTTAAATTTTTTACTGGGTTGTTAGAGAGAAGCCTGACACACACACACAAACACCAAAAACAGACGAAATATAATTTGACGTTGTGTGTATACTATGATGATGTTGGGCCTTTTGCGGCGACGTTGACGATATCGTTTATAATGACGGCGACGGCGGCGGGCGTTTATAGATGAGGTGTATTTTGTTCTCTGTGTGGCTGAGAGTCAATTTGTATGTATGTACGTGTGTGTGTGTACTAATAGGTAGGAATATCTGTGTTGTTCTGTTTTTGCTGCTTCCTCCTCTATTTTTAACACTAATATTAATAAAAAAGATGTAGCGACAGCGTCAGTTGACGGTGGCGGCGGCAAAGCAACTTGCAGGGGGTTAGCGTTCTTTTTCGTAAAACAAAAAGAGTAAAGAAAGAAAAATCGATTATATTGATTTCAATTGCAGGAAGAAGGAAAAGGGAAGGGTACTTGTAAAGAAACACAACAAAAATGCTATATGAATGGATTTTCGCATGTGTAAATTATTTTTTCGTTTGCTTTTATTGTCATGTACTTGCAGCAGTACTGACTGACTGGCTGGCTTTCTTTTGTATCGACGACGTTTCGTATAGTTTTTCTTTCGTTGCGTGTATTTGTTGTAGTAGGTATTCCACAATCCACAGAAAAAAATTTCTTTGAAACGTTTTTCAAAATTGTTACACAATATACGATTTATGAAAGGAAAATATGTTTTTCTTATTTTTTCATTTTTTTCTCAATCATTTAACTCATTTCATCATTTGTTTCTGTTCATTCATTAGATACAGATACATTTTCTGTGTTCTGCTCTTTACACTTTCAGATATTTTTTTCATTTCATTTTATTTCTTTTTTGCTCCAACAACACCACTTTGTCCCGTTAATAGAACTTTTTGTTTAAAATCGTTTATTTTCGCACACTTACTTTTTTCTCTTTGTTTTCTTTAATATTTTTAATAAATAATTTTAATTAAAAGCTATGGCTTTTCCGTTTTTATTAGATATTTTCTGTGCAAAAAAATATTTCTTTTTCTGTGTTCTCAGTGTTTTCCGTTTCTGCGTAACGTTAACAGATACGTCTCTCCAGTTCGAAATGTTAGGATTAAATAAAATGAATTAAGGCTGGTAAATTTAGCTAACCCAACGTCGAATCAATTGCCGACAACTGGCCTCTCTTCGGTATGGTGAAGAACAACAATAAGAGAGAACAAAAAATATACTCTCTTAAATTTTAATGCCAGAGAGAATTCAACAAAGAATGGGAGAACACAAAGAAACTCAGAAAGGTGAAAGTAATGTGTGGTGAAAATGGCAAGTGTGGGGATTTTCACACAAAACAATGGGAATTAGCAAAAATGCACAAAATAGCTTTTCAGTGACTTTTAAATATTTTACAATAAAAACAAGTCATCGATGACAGTCCTCTTTAACGAGCTTATTGTTGGAAAATAGCTTCTTTATAGAAATTACTATCGGTAGAGTAGTAATTAGTAGCAACTTCTTCCTATCGAAAAGTTGCTATTGACTTTTAAAAGTTAGCGAAAACCCCTTCTCTCTAGAAAATTTTTATCGAAAACTTTTCCCTTTTGAAAACTACTCATCGTTTATTTTCCCATTGCAAAATTTGTTAACAATTGCTATGTTCCAGAACTGCAAGAATGTAAAAGTTTTTACTACGATAACCGATTTTCCCTTTATGATATCGACAAAAATTGCAAAAATAGTAGATTCTTGCAGGAAAGTAACAACTTTTTTTCTTTAGAAAAGTGCCTATTGACTTTATTTTTCAAATGAAAGCGAGTTATCGATGTAAATTCTTTATAAGACAACAATTATGCATAACATTCTTTAATTCATCTTCTACTGTTTACAAGTTCCTTTTTAAGAAAGTAAGTTGTTGACTTTTCTAAAAGCTATCATAAAAAATGTCATTTCTGTAATTATAGACAACATTTCTTATAGAAAATCTTTTATCGATAATTTTTATCTAGATACAATTTGATTTTGGGCAATTTTGCATATGAAAGTATTATCCTGTGGAAAAGTTGTTATCGGCAAGTTTTCGAATATCATTGACATCGAAAAGACGTTAATCGCAACCCATAGAAGAAATATCATAAAAGGACCTAACAATCGAGAACCGATAACTTAGGAAATGTTACAATAATATTCGTGTATCGTACCAACTTTCTTGGCGAAGAAATCAACTATCGAGTCCAAAAAAAAGCTGTTATCCCCTTTCTGTAAAAACTAGTGTTATTGTTTCGTATTAAAACTTTGCTATCACAAACATTTCTCCAAGATATCTTTTTATCGATGATTTTTGTTCTATAGAGATTTATGTTATAGAACCTATTTTTTAAGAAGTAATTGTTATCGCGATAGTTAGAAAACTATTTTTTGCTTCGAAAGGTATTATCGAAAACTTTTCTCCATTAAAAGTTGGTATCAACTACCTGAAAAAGTGGTTATCGACGGCTTTTTCTTTGGGACTGCTGCATCGACAATTTTTTTTTTATTATTATCAATGACTGTTCCCATAGAAACTGTTTTATTGGCGATTTTCCTTTATAGTGAGGCTGTTATGGACCTCATTTTTTTGCAAATAATGCTCTGTTCTCAGAACCTGCAGAATCTACTAGTTTTGCAATTTTATTCGATATCATAATGAAAATCGGTTATCGTAGTAAAAAAATTTTTACATTCTTGCAGTTCTGGAACTAACCTAAAGTTAGTGTGAAAAACTATTTCTAGCGAAAAGTCGTTATCGACAATTTTTTTAAAATTAGTTAACGTTAAATAGTTATTCGCGAAGTATTATCCCAATTATTCCTTTGTAGAAAAGTAGTATTTACAATTTTCTCTATCTAAAAATATTAACGATAACCTATTATCTATGATTACCTATGAAATGTTATCGAAACCCCGAACATGCATTTAGCAAAAATTGTTAACGACACTGTTCGATAAAGACACTTTATCGATGTTTTTTTCTGTTTTTGTAAATTTCCGGATTACCCAATTTGGATCGACAATTTTTTCTATGAAAAATGTATAAAAAAATATTTATCGATAACTTTCTCTATAGAAAATTTGTTACGACAATTTGTTCTCTTTGGAAAACTACTATTTGGTTTATATTTTCGGACAAGAAAACTTATTATATAAAAGTTTGCTAATGAAGAATTGTTATCGATCACTTTTTTCAAT